GGTTATTTTTAAAAACATTGTATTTGGAAATAATTACAGATTCACACACGGTTACAGTCCTGATCATCTTTGTATCTTCTCTTCCCGCTGGCTCACTCTTGTGGTTCCATCCTTTCTTTCTTTCCACATTTCTATTATTCTCCATGATCTGTCTGACCCTGTCAATTTCAGAAAGTTCCTACAGGTTTCAGCCTGTTGTTTCTGTTGATGCTTCATTTCCTCATGTTTGGTGATCTTTGTGAAGTGTTTTGGGTTGATCTTAACGTATGGATGGGCTGGAGACCTAAACTGAGCTTGCTTTTCTCTACAGGATTTGCTTTTGCTTCTACCAGTAGCACCACCACCCCAGCCTCTGCTCCTACTGAGGGTCTGAGGCTCAATCAAGGTGTCCCCCTTCTCACCTGGCATCACAGCGCTTGTTGCTCATGGTGGCCTGCTGGGCCCTTTAGAGACCTTGTCCCTCCCGGGAACCAGCCTGGGGGGGATTGAACTGCTATTTGCTTCTCCCTACCTTACTAGATTTGGGTTTTGAAGCAAGTGCGTTAGCCTCACTCTGCCTCTTTTGCGAAACAAGATTAATCCCTACTTTTGCTGGTTTGTTATGGGGATTACAGATAATGACTGAAGGTTTGTTTTTTAAGTAGGCTCCAAGCCCAGCATGGAGCCCAACACAGGGCTTGAACTCACAACCCTGAGATTAAGACCTGAACTGAGATCAAGAGTTGGACACTTAATGGGGCGCCTGGGTGGCTCAGTCGTTAAGCGTCTGCCTTTGGCTCAGGTCATGATCCCAGAGTCCTGGGATTGAGCCCCACATCGGGCTCCCTGCTCCGCAAGGAGTCTGCTTCTCCCTCTCCCACTCCGCCTGCTTGTGTTCCCTCTCTCACTGTGTCTCTTTCTGTCAAATAAATAAATAAAATCTTAAAAAAAAAGAGTTGGACACTTAACCAACTAAGCCACCCAGGCGCCCCGATAATGACTGAAGTTTTAAGTGACAGCTTGACGCCCATCTGCTCAAGGGCCCTTGTTGCTCTAAGGGTCCAGCCTTCCTGTCCAGCAGCCACCTCCCATCCCTACCCCTACGAGGAAGCCAGAGGTAAAACACAACACAGATGCTTTATTGGTTACAAAACATGAAAACCCAGGCCCCATGGGACTCAAGTGATGCCAGGGAGGTGGAAAAGACAGAGCAGTTGGTGAGCCCCGGCCCGCGGGCAAGTGACAGAGTCTCTCAGGCCCTTGCTGCAGGCTCCGTTCAGCTGGGCTCCACTTCTGGCAAAAGGCTGCTCTTCTGCTTGCAGCCCAGGGTTGCGCCCTGCCTGAGGACCCCAGGCCTGTGGGAAGTGTGGGCAGAAGGAAGAGGCGGCTGACGGCCATCCCTGAGGAGGTGGTGAGCAGCTCCCAGGTCAGAGCAGATGGGTGAATGCCAGGCCAAGGGCCTCACAGACCCCTACCCAAAGTTCTGGCCTGGCCACCTGCCCCCCTTCAAGTACCCTCCGTCCTGATGCCAGCCCTGGAAGAGAACACCTGAAGGCAAGAAAGAAGGAGGCCCCTGCCAAAATTTCTTCTTCCTTTCATGGCCAAGTGGGAGGAGCAGCTGAAACCCTTCCTTCCACTGAAGAAGCTCAGAGCAGAGGGAATGCTCACCAACTAGGACAGGATACCCATTAGGGGTTATGCACAAATCTGTCTAAAACAATGTATGTGACCTCAAAACAGCAGTCCAGCCTTCAGGTCAGCTGTGCAGGGCAAAAACCCAAGGGCAGCACTGAGAGCAGGTGCCTGGGGGCCAGCCACCCCCTTCCAAGAGGAAGCGAGGGCTGGATCTGAGTGGGGTGATGCCTATCTCCTGGGCTGCAGGTGGTTGTGGAGCTGCTCCGCCTGGATCTTCAGGCGCTGGAATTCTTCCTGAATGAAGTCAGTCAGAGCTTTGCGCATCTCCACCTGAGGGGAAGGACTGGGGCTGGCCTGCAGCCCTTGGGGAACTTGGCCCAGGGGCCCTGGGAGGCTGAGGGTGCCAGGAAAGGCTGAGACAGCTACAGGGTAGCCCAGGGAAGGGGGGAAAAGGGTGGCGCGGGGGAGAAAGACAACTCACAGCTGACTTGTTCTCCGCCTGGAGCCGTTCGAGCACAGGCAGAGCACTGAAGGGCTTCCCGATCAGCACGGTGATTTTCTGTAGGGAGACCAGCCACCATCGGGCGACAGAAACAGGGAGAGTGCCCACAGCCGTGGTCCAACCACCCCAGAGAGCCAGAAGCCAAGTCCTGCCCCTAATTTGCTGCGTGCTCCCTCATGGCCACGCTCCCTCTTTAAAACGAGGTGGTCAGGCTCAGTGACATTCAAGTCCTACAGTCCACGCTCTAGATGGTTCTGTTCTGCTCAAACCCCACGGCTCACCCCCACCCAGCCTGATTTCTTTTGCTCTCCTTCTACCGGCCTTGGTGCCAGGAAGTCCCTCTCTCTCTCTGTTCCACTCAGTCCCCCTGTTGCAGCTTCAAGCTCAGCTCCTCCTGAATCTGGCCTCAGTAGTGCTGAGTGGGAGACACGAGGCAGATGGCAGACAAGACAGAGCAGGGTCAGCAGCTCCTACCCACCTGTCCAAAGCGGGGGAAGTAGGGCGGGCTGTTAGGAAGGACATCATTCATTCCTGCAGCACAATGGACAGAGGCCAGGAAGCAGGCATGGGGTGGAGCAGGGCAGCCTGGGAAAAGGTGAAGCCCCAGCCGCCGCCACCCCAGGTGCCCTCTCCCTGCCACCCACTGGAAACCCTCCCAAACCTAGGGAAGCCGCCCGCCCCCGCCCCCGCCCCCAGGCTGCAGACTTGGCCCAAGAAGGACGCTCACCGACATGCCACAGGGGCAGGATGACAGGGTTGAGATGACACTCGGCAATGAGGCGTCCGATTCCTGCCCCAGGGAGAGGCGGAAACGTTGGCACGAGCAGAGCTCCGGTGCCAGCCTATAGCAAAGCCAGCCCTGCCCGCTTCCAATTAAAACCAACTGCCCCGGTCCAGCTCCGCAAGGCAAGCCCTTGGTCGGCACCTGCCTCCTTCCTGCTACCACCGGCACGCCCACCCCAGCCAGCCAGGCAGCAGTGCCTACCCCACTTAAAGCGTAGGAATTCAGAGCTCATGTTCACTTTCCCTGTTGAGAGAGAGGACAGAGGTGAGGCTTGGGAGCTGGGGCGGGTGGTGTGCAACCCTGCCACCTCCACTGACCTTCTGGGAAGATGTGCACCCAGTCCCCGTGGTTGAGCTTTTCCAAAATGAAGTCCATTCCCTTCTGGTAGACGCCATCTCCTGCCGAGAAAAGGCCTGCACCATCAGTCCCTGTTCTCCCAGGGCTCCCTGCCTGCCCTGGGAATGAAGCAACAGCTCAAGGACTCCCTCATCCCCCACTGCACCGGACACACGGACACCCTGCAATCACTGTCTCTGTACTGTAGCCCTTGACATCCTTTGTTCAATAATAGCCTCTAAACCTCCAAGTACCCGTCATGTGCAAGGCAGCATCATTGTCTGAACTGGCAATCCCTCTACCAGCCTCCAACCCCACCTTCTGCCTGTCAGTCGCACCACAGCCTCACCTGCTGAGCCCCGGACACCTGCGGTAGGCACCCTCGCAGACCCCTGGCTCCGCTCACCGCTTTCCTTGCCCTCCCTTCCTCTTCCGCTCTTGGAGCCTTCTTTCTCCTTGGGATGCAGATGCACCACCCCTGGGGCGAGCCTGCCATCTGCTGCCCCTGGCCCAGAGGGCACTGCTGGAGCAAACCGAATCCATTCATGATGTCCAGCCCTCACCTGGGCCCCAGACCCGGGACAGCAGCCCTTTCCTGAGGTCTGAGCTAGGCCAGTCCTCACAGGTCTCCCAGCCCTGCCTGAGCCCTCAGCCTCCGCCATCCCTCCCTCCTGCTGACCCCTTCGCCCCTCGCGGGGCTCCCCCCGAGACTAGACTCTCATTATCGCAGCCTCTTGGGAAAGGGAGAACATTTGATACAATACACGGTGTCACTGAGAGTTGGGAAAAACTCAAACTTGCTAGGCCGAAGAAAGGGGGGATGAACTGCCCCCAAGGCTAACAACACTCACCTTGGAGATACCTAGAGGCCATGACACTGGACCCAGGTGGCCTGGCAGTTAGCAACAACACAGATACAGATGCCTAGTGCTATGTGCTGGCTTTCAACTGGGAGTCCTGTGGAGACAATCTGTGACTACATGCAGTAAGAATCCCCTCAACCTTGTCCATAGAGTGGACAGTGACAGACAGACTTACCAAGTAGGGAGAGACCTATCATAAAGAGGAGGAGACAGACATTGGGACTATCTCAGGTCAGTGCACCAAGAAACGGACTTCTAACCTGTTCTCTGCAAGGCCGAGTGTTTAGAAGGTACCAGTGAGGCATCCAGGAGTCTCAACCCAAGCCAACCCAATGGGGACCTGGCCCAGCAGCTCCCTCAGGGGCTGGAGTTAAGGAGCAGTCAGTCACCACAGTTTCTTAGGGTATCATGAGAGCAGGGGCTTCCCTACCTGGGATAGCATTACCCGGTAGGAGGGGGGCTTCAGAGGAGTTGTCTCCGGCTCTACTAAACCCTGCTGGTGCAACTGAGCCATCCAGCTTGAAATCAAAATTATACTAAACTACAATGCTCCTAATTCTTTGGGACACAGCAAAAGCAGTTCCAAGAAGGAAACTTATAGTGATACAGGCCAACCTCAAGAAACATGAAAAATCTCAAATAAACAATCTAACCTCACACCTAAAAGAACTAGAAAAAGAACAAAGCCCAAAGTTAGTAGAAAGAAGGAAATAATAATTAGATCAGAGTGGAAATACATGAAACCAAGAGCTGGTTCTTTGAAAAGATAAACAAAATTGATAAACCTGTAGCTAAACTCATCAAGAAAAAGAGAGGACCCAAATAAACTCAGAAATGAAAGAGGAGAAAAAACTGATACCACAGATACACAAAGGATTATAAAAGAGTACCATGAAAAAGTATACAACAACAAATTGGACAACCTAAAAGAAATAGATACGTGTTCAAAACAGAATCAGGAAGAAATAGAAAAGCTGAATAGGCTGACTACTAGTAAATGATTATTTGAATTGGTAATCAAAAAACTCCCAACAAACAAAAGTCCAGGACCAGATGGATTCACAGGTGAATTCTGTCAAACATTTAAAGAAGAGTTAATACTTATTCTTCTCAAACTATTCCAAAAAATAGAAGAGGAAGGAAAGCTTCCAAATATATTCTATGAGGCCATCATTACCCTGATACCAAAACCAGTCAAAGACATTACAAAAAAGGGAACTACAAGGCCAATATCCCCAATGAACACAGACGTAAAAACCCTCAACAAAATATTACCAAACTGAATTCAACAACACATTAAAAGGATCATTCACCACAATTGAGTGGGATTTATTCAAGGGATGCAAGGATGGCTCAATATCTACAAATCAATCAATGCGATAGACCCCACTAACAAAATGAAGGCTAACAATCATACAATCATCTCAATAGATGCAGAAAAAGCATTTGACAAAATTCAACATCTGTTCATGATAAAAACTCCCAACAAAATGGGTTTAGAGAGAACATAACTCAACATAATAAAGGCCATATATGACAAACCACAGCTAACATAATGCTCAAAGGTGAAAAACTGAGAGATTTTCCTCTAAGATTAGGAACAAGATGAGGATGTCCACTCTTGCCATTTTTATTCAACATCGTACTGGAAATCCTAGCCACAGCAATCAGACAAGAAAAAGAAAGAAGAGGGGGGCCTGGGTGGCTCAGTTGGTTAAGCATCTGCCTTCGGCTCAGGTCATAATCTCAGGGTCCTGGGATAAAGCCCCACGTCAGGCTCTCTGCTCAGCAGGGAGTCTGCTTCTCCCTCTCACTCTCCCTCTGTGCTTTCCCTCTCTCTTTCAAATAAATAAATAAAATCTTAAAAAAAAGAAAAAGAAAAAGAAACAAGAGGCATTCATGTTGGTGAGGCAGGAGTTAAGCTGTCTCTATTTGCAGATGACATGATACTATGCATGGAAAACTCTGAAGACTCCACCAAAAAGCTATTAGAAGTAATAAATGAATTCAATAAAATTGCAGGATACAAAATTAACAGACAGATGGGGTGCCTGAGTGGCTCAGTTGGTTAAGCGTCTGCCTTCAGCTCAGGTCATGATCTCAGGGTCCTGGGATCGGGCCCCACATCAGGCTCCCTGCTCAGTGAGGAGTCTGCTTCTCCCTCTCCCTCTGCCTCTGCCCCTCCCCTCTAGCCTCATCCGCTGAGCCACGGACATCTACAGTATGCACCCTCGCAGACCCCTGGCTCTGCTCACCACTTTCTCGTGCTCTCTCTCCTTCTCTCTCAAATAAATAAATAAAATCTTTAAAAAAATTAACATACAGGGGCACCTGGGTGGCTCAGTCAATAAGCGTCTGCCTTGGGCTCAGGTCATGATCCCAGGGTCCTGGGATCAAGCCTGCATCGGGCTCCCTGCTCAGCGGGAAGCCTGCTTCTCCCTCTGCCCCTCCCCCTGCTTGTGTTCCCTCTCTCGCTGTGTCTCTCTCTGTCAAATAAATAAAATCTTTAAGAAAAATAAAATAAAAAATTAACATATAGAATCTGTTGCATTTCTATACACTAATAACAAAATAGCAAAAAGAGAAATTAAGAAAACAATTTCCATTTACAATTGCACCAAAAAGAACAAAACACCTAGGAATAAACTTAACCAAGGAGGTGAAAGACCTGCACTCTGAAAACTATAAAACACTCATGAAATAAATTGATGATGACACAAACAAATGGAGAGATATTCCATGCTCATGGACTGGAAGAATTAATATTGTTAAAACATGCACATGACCCAAAGCAATCTACACATTCAGTGCAATCCCTATCAAAGTACCAACAGCATTTTTCACAGAACTAGAGCAAATAATCCTAAAATTTGTATGAGATCACAAAAGACACCAAACAGCCAAAGTAATCTTGAAAAGGAAGAACAAAGCTGGAGGTATCACAATCCCAAATTTCAAGAGATGCTGCAAACCTGTAGTAATCAGAGCTGTATGGTACTGGCACAAAAAGACACATGGATCAATGGAACAGAATAGAGAGCCCAGGATTCAATCCACACTTCTATGATCAATTAATCTCCAACAAAGGAGGTAAGAATATACAATGGGGAAAAGACAGTCTCTTCAACAAACAGTGCTGGGAAACCTGGAGAGCCACATGCAAAAGAATGAAACTGGACCACTTTCTATCACCATCACAAAAATAAACTCAAAATGGATGAAAGACCTAAATGTGAGGCCTGAAACCATAAAACTTCTAGAAGAAAACATAGGCAGTAATCTCTTTGACATTGGCCTTAGCAACATTTTTCTAGATATGTCTCCTCAGGCAAAGGAAACAAAAGCAAAAATAAGTATTGGGACTCATCAAAATAAAAAGCTTTTTACACAGCACAGCAAAGGAAAACATCAACAAAACAAACAGGCAACCTACTGAACAGGAGAAGATATTTGCAAATATTTCCAATCAAGGGTTAATATCCAAATATCCGAACTATATAAAGAACTTAAACAACTCAACACCAAAAGCCCAAATAATCCAATTAAAAAGCCTAAACAGACTTTCTCCAAATAAGACATATAGATGGCTAATAGACACATGAAAAGATGCTCAACATCACTCATCATCAGGGAAATGCAAATCAAAACCACCATGAGATATCACCTCACACCTCTCAGAATGGCTAGTATCAAAAAGACAGGAAGGGGCGCCTGGGTGGCTCAGTCGGTTGAGCGACTGCCTTCAGCTCAGGTCATGGTCTCAGGGTCCTGGGATCGAGCCCCGCATCAGGCTCCCTGTTCGGCAGGAAGCCTGCTTCTCCCTCTCCCACTCCCCCTGCTTGTGTTCCCTCTCTCGCTGTGTCTCTCTCTGTCAAATAAATAAATAAAATCTTTTAAAAAAGTCTTTAAACAAACAAAAAAAGATTTTTTTTAAAAAAGATTTTATTTATTTGTCAGAGAGGGAACACAAGCAGGGGGAGCGGCAGGCAGAGGAAGAAGCAGACTCCCCACCGAGCAAGGAGGCCGATGCAGGACTAGACCCCAGGACCCTGGGATCATGACCTGAGCCAAAGGCAGATGCCTAACTAACTGAGCCACCCAGGCGTCCCTTGTTTTCTGTTTTTAACTGTACAGTAAAACCTAGATGCAGATCAAAAAGAAGAACAAGACAAGAAGTTGACACGGAGGGTGGCTCAGTCGGAGGAACATGTGACTCTTGATCTCGGGGTCATGAGTTCGACACCCCGCTAAAAAAATAAATAAACTTTAAAAATAAATAAATAAAACTTAAAAAAAAAAAAAAAAAAGAAGTGGACACGGAAGCCCTGTGTGTGAGGTCGCAGAAGGGAGGAACTGAAGACTCAGGAGCCTGAGCAGAGTCCCCATCTCTCGGAGGTGTGATAAACAATGCCATAGTCACTATAGCCACAACCCTTGTAGCTTCTGCTTATGTTTTAGAGAAATGAAATAGCCTTCAAATGCAGCAAGAAGTGAAAGCATTCAAGGCTGTTGTCTCCAAGGAGGAGATCTGAGGATCTGGAGGGGTAGGCACTGCAGCTTTTCATTAAAAGCCCTTCATTTTTTGAGGTTACTTTATTGCATTTCTCCATGTTTTACTTTGACCAAGTAGAAATAAGAACCTCTCCCTTGACCTCTGACACCCTTGGGTTACCTCCTCCTCTCTCTTCCTTCTCAGAGCTGAACTTCTGGGAGGAGTGGACACCCCTGCTATCTCCACTCCCTCCTGCCCCTGGCACCTCCTGTGGCTACCACTTCACAGAAATGGCTTCTCCGGCACCAAGGGGCCCCGCTTTGCTTCCTCCCTCTCTGGCCATTGCTTTCGGCTGCCCTGGTGGCCTGTGTCTCTGCCCTCCACCCGCTCTCCCTCTCTGCAAGCTTACCTCTACTTCGACTTTGTTAGTGTTTGAGTCCCTCATATATTCCTGACTGCTCTTCTGAGTTCCAGAACTGCACATCCCACTGCCTCTGGGACTGCTCCCCGCCTCAGGTGACAGGCTCCTCAGATGAAACATGTGCAAAACAGAATTCACCCCCCCTCCCAACCCCCACACCGCTTTCCCTTCATCTCATCCTCCCAGTGGCTCAGTGTCATCAGATGTCACCTAGTGTGATCTTCAAGTTGTCTTTTCCTTACCCCTTCCCACACCCAATCTATCAACAAGTCCTATCAACTCTGCCTCCGGAGCAGGCCCCTTCTCCAGCTCTCCACAGCGGCCTCCAGAGGCCCAGCTACAATCCTCTGCTGCCAGAATTACTGAGACAGCCCCTAACTGGGCTCCCTGCCTCCACTGGGCTCTGCCCTCATCCACCAGCCATGCTGCAGCCAGGAGGCTCTCTCTCTCTGAACCACAGACGGAAGCACATCACTGCCCTGATGAGAGAACAGAGTCCAAAATTCTTACCACGATTATTCGAGAACCTTCACATTTGGCCTGCAACCTACACTGTCTACCTTTATCGCTTACCTCTTCAGTGCCTGGCATGTTCTTCCTGCGTCTCGAATGCCTTTCCTTTCGTACTCTGCCTAGAAAATCTTGTACTTCCCCAGAGGAAAGAGCAACCTGGATTCAAATCCTGGCTTTGCCACCTCTCACCCCATGACCTTGGGCCAGTGGCTTAGTTCCTCCAATCCCCTTTATCTGGAGAATGGGGATCAAAATGGTCCCTACCTCCTGAGGCTCTCGAGAGGTGCTGAGTAGTCACCCAGTGTCACACCCTCACCCCACAAGCCTGTTTTTCCAAACTCTGCAGCTTCCAGCACATGCCACCACCACCACAGAACAATGACGCCACACTGCCATCAGTGAGTCTCTTAGCTGTGGACAATGCCTCCTTGACTTCTAATGCTACAGTCCCAGGTTCACGCAGCCTTCAGGCAGTCCCAGGAACTGAGTGCTCTCCACGAGGCCCTCACTCCCCCAGCCACCAGTGCCACCTCCGCAGCCATGCCACGCAACTGGGACACACACCAGTGGGGCAGTGGCCCCTGGCTCCCCTTGTGCCCAGGCTCCATGTCCCACCTGGTCCCTCCACTCCCAGGACTGCTCAGCCAGAAGCACTAGCCACCAGTCCCCGCTCTGAAGAAAACCAGAGAAGGCCGAAGTGCCTCCCCGGGTTCACTCACCCACGAGCCCCTTCTTGGAGGATCAGCTCACCTCGGCACACGGGCACACACTTGCCCAAGCTGAAAAAGCGGGAGTGCAGCTCTTTGGTGAAGCAGATGTCTGCAGCCGCAGGGGTCCTGAAGTAGGGACAGATGCAGTCATCCCTGCCTCCCTTGCACCCTAATTCCCTGCCCTCCCCACAACATGATGCCTGACATTGTCGGCAATGTGGAAAGGAGGCACAGGAGGCCCTGTGGAACCCCACCCCGTGCCCTGCCTGTACTGCTGGACGCCGCCTCCTGGGCAGAGCAGGAGGAGGGCAAATCTGGGCACAGACGGGTGAGGCCTGCCAGGCCTACTGCGAGGGGCCCATTCCTCCTCACCAACGCATCAACTTCAGGTTCCAGATGTGGCGGAGTTTCAGGATCCCTAGAGAAGGAAAGGCTTCATGCCCCAGCTTGCCTGGTCCCTAGGGAGCATCTTTTTCTGTCACTCAGTTTCAGGGAATGAGGAGCGGGGGCAGCAGCACTACCATTTCCCTATGGCTGAAAGTAGCATCTTCCAGTCCCGTGGACTGGACCCCATGTTGTCCCTGGCTTCTCCCTCTCTCCCATCCCCACCCATATCTTATTAGTCCCCACATCTGGCCTGCCTACCACCCTGATATCTTTTGCCACTGCCTATTCTTCTACACCTCTCCCTCCATTGTTACTGCCCCCACCCTAGTCCAGGTTACTGAATGGTTCTAAAAGCTCCTTCCCGGCCTCCTGGTATCTGCCTGTGGCACTCTACAGGCCCTTCTCTGCCCAGTGGCCAGGGTGGGCTCTGAAAGGCTCCGATTTGACCAACTGGCTTCCAATGAAGCCTCTCTACGACAGTCTAACCTCCTGAATTCATCAGTAAAAGCCCTGGGCACCCCTCTACCCCGCCATCTGGGTTACTGGAGCCAAGCAACTCCCTGTGAGGTCAGCAGAGCAGGAACTTCTAGGTGGTGAAGTGGGCTCCCAAATGAGGCTGGTTAAAGGGTACAAACTCAGCCTGGGGCAAACCTGGAACCAGGACACACGTCTCCCAGCCTCTAGCCCAGACCTTCCTTGACAAGATACCCTATGGTTCTCGGATCTGTTTCAATACTCTGTGGGACCTTCAACAGTTTAGAGAATGGAGGGTTCCACAGGCCTGATGCATCAAAGTAAAGCAGCCATCAATCAGACTTTGCCCTGCAGCCGTTTCCTCACTCCCTCGGTCCCTCCAAATTTCTGAGGCCCTTGCCAAGTTATTTTCTGAAAGAATACTGAAGGGGCCACAAATCCTATTTTAATCCTTGGAGCAGGACACCCCAGAAACAGGAGTGCCAGGGATTTGTAGAGAGCCCAGTGAGAAGTCAGTTTATTCTGCTTCTGTCTGGCCCCCTACCGGGTTCTCTCCATGCCTCCCTGTGCCCAGAACCCTGGTGCCCGGTACCCCAGAGATGAGGGTCATCCATGCAGGACTGGTGATTGGAGACAGTGATGAGGGGCGTGGCTGGGCCTCGGTTCTCGATGAGGTCGTACAGCACCTCCTTGTTGTGGACGGTGAGGTGGTTCATGTACTCTGGGGGAAGAGACGGACTGTGGGGAGAGGTCTTGGCCTCATTCTCCCTGGGTCCCAGGGCTCCCCCCCAGCCAAACTAGCCCCCACCTACACCCACAACCCCAAATCCCAACTCTGGCTGGGCGTGGAGAGCCGTGGCCGACTCTGCCTCGGCTTCGGGCCCACTCACTGGTCCAGAAGCAGCTGTAGGTGCCCACGAGGCCCATGACGACGCTGCTGGCCAGAGTCCAGGTGAACGGCGGCACGGCGGGGAACGGCCATTTCACACGCAGGGGCATCTCCCCCGCCCACACCGAGCTCCCCTGCTCCCCCCAGCAGCCCGGCGCTTCCCCTGCCACGGGGCAGCCTGTGGGGCCGCTCTAGGTTTGTGTCCTCAACCGCTGGAGAACTGGGTCCCTGGCAGGCCCGCGCCACAGACGGGCTCCGCGCGACAGGGGACTCGACCAAGGTCACCTCGCAGGTCAGTCCAGAGCCGGGCCGGCCCCCGCTCTCTCGCCACAGATGAGGCGCCACCGAGGTCAGGAATCGGGGGTCGCAGCGAGAAGCGAGAGGGGCCGGCGGTGGCAGCCAGGGGCCCCGGGCCCCCGCCGGAAACCGAGCCAGCGACGGCAGCCGGCTCCCAGCGGCCTGTCGCAAAATGCTCTCAGGCCGCTTGACGGCAGCGGGGGCGGGCCCTTGGGCCGTGTGGCCCCGCCCCGCTCCAGCGCAGAAGCAGGTTCCCGGCCGCTGGCGCCTGCGCGTCCCTTGTGTCTCCTTAATTCGTCCCCAGAAAGGTCTCTATAGGTAACTTGGGCTAAGCAGCGCAATTACCTGACACCACTAAAGGTTGGAGCCGACGGGGCACTTTTATTTAGTTTTTTTTTCCCGTTTTTTACTGAGGCAAAATTCATATAACGGAATTAACCGTTTTGTAATATTTTGTGGCATTTTACATTCTATACCATATTTTATGTATATAACCTGTTATATGTTACATTATGTAATTTTTACATAGTTATCTGCACACAATTTTACAGTTACACTATTACAGATATGTACAATATGTTTCTATATATGTAACGTAATATGTGATGTATATGTAGCAACATATGCCAAATAATAAAAAGATACTATGTATAATATAGTATTTTCCGTTATTTAGTACGTTTCCAGTGTTCTCAACCACCACCTCTATTTCCAAAACATGCTTATCACCCCAGAAGAAAGCCTTGTATCCGCTAAGCAGTCTACTGTTTATTTTTCTTCTTCTTATCCTTCTCCTCCTCCTCCTTTTTTATTTAAGTAATCTCTACGCCCAGCGTGGGGCTTCAACTCAGAACCCTGAATTCAAGGGTCGCATTCCCTACTGACTGAGCCAGCCAGGCGACCCTAGAAACATTTTTTTTTAAATCGATACAACTGTGCTTCAAAAATAAGAAAGGCTGGCTCACTTGGGGTCTCCAGAGGGCGTAGGAGTGTGCAGCCACACTGGCAACCGGCCTGAGGACATGGAGAGGAGGCTCTTGTCCTCGAGGGAGCCCCCAGGCTGGCCGCAGGGCTCCCCTACGACGGGCACAAGCTCGGGCTCTTGTGTCTTCCGTACCAGATGCTGCCTAGAGGCAGCCCGTGTCGGGGACTGAGGGCTGGGCCTGGGAGAGCACAGCTCCGGGTTTGCATTTGCGCGCCGGCTCCTCCTCCCCGCGCACCCTTGGCACGGGCAACTACTCATTATGGGAAGGCGGAGGCTCGATTACTCTCTCTGACTCACAGGTCTGTCATCTGCCCCCAGCTCCAGGCCTCCGCCGGCGCCTGCTTCCACGTGGGTCAGGGAAGGTGGAGTCCAGCGCTCGGCCCTGCGGGGCAGAGCCCCAGCGCCAGGAAGGGTGGGGCAACCGGCCTGGCCTGACGGGTGGGTCGGGAAGACACCTCTTCCTCTTTTCTCGCCTACGGTTCCTGCCCAGACGGCTGCTGCGATTCCGTAGAGGTGTTGCGATCCGCTTACAGCTGCGGCAGGCGTGGATACGAGCTGGTCTGAGGGTCTGAGTAGGTATGGGAGCCCTCTGAGCAGAGGGAGGGAGAAAGTTACCACCCCCGCCCCCGACCCCGGCCTGAGGACAGGGGTGAGAGGGTAAGGGAACCCCTGGGGCCAAGGCTTGGGAGCCTGGGCTAGGCTTTGGGCTGAGGCCAGGAACTGCGGTTCTTCTTGACCTTGGCCCTTGTGCGGGCCCCTGACCCCAGAGCCTCCAAGCCTTCCCTTCACAGCCCTGGGCTGCTCAAGTGTCCGCATACATCCTAGAATAGTAACCAGGGCAGGGCACCCAAGCCAGCCTGAGTGACAGAGCAGGTGGCCAGGGAGAGACAGGCATTCAGCCCAGCTTGGAGTATGAAAGAGATGCAGAGACTAGATGACAAAGAGGGGAAAACAGAGAAGAGAGGGCAAGAAAGACAGAGGAAGGCAGAGAGGGAGGTGACAAAATGTTACCTGGGATGCAGTGGGAAATTACTCAAATAAGAGGGCTTAAGAGGGCTGAAAGGGGCGCGTGGGTGGCTCCGTCAGGTAAGCGTCCTACTCGGTTTCGGCTCAGGTGGTGATCTCAGGCTTGTGAAATGGAGCTCCATGTGGGGTTCTGTGCTCAGTGTGGAGTCTGCTCCGGATTCTCTCTCTCTCTCTGTCTCTCTCTCTCTCCCTCCTCCAAATAAATAAAATCTTAAAAAAAATAAGAGGGCTGAGAGCTATCAGTAGAAGGGAGGGAGGAAGGGACAAAAGCAGAGAAGGAATATGGCTTATTTTGCAGAACCAACAGTTCCAGCCAAGGAGACACCCAACTAACTAGGTGTTTCACCTGATAGCCCCTTGCTAGGTGTGTCTTGCCTGATAGCTGCTTATGTGAGCCAGTTTGAGCTGGATTGGCGCTGAGCATGGAACCCCCCCCCCCCGGTCCTAAAGTAACTGCCTTTAGCTCATTATAATACTAAAATCTTCCCCTATAGGCAGAGTTTTCCACCCTTTTTTAAAAATTTTTTAAATTTGTTTTTAAAGATTTTATTTATTTATTTGACAGAGAGAAAGAGAGAGCACAAGTAGCCAGAGAGGCAGGCAGAGGGAGAGGGAGAAGCAGGCTCTCCACTGAGCAGGGAGCCCGACGTGGGGCTCAATCCCAGGACCCTGGGATCATGACCTGAGCCGAAGGCAGCCGCTTAACCGACTGAGCCACCCAGGCGCCCCTTGTCCACCCTTTTTTGAACATACGGTGTATGCACTAACATGTTGACATGCTAGGCATGCACAACTGAACCCAAACTGCCTGTGTAAGCTCCCTGCCCTGACCCCCTAATACACTGGATAAAAGCTTCCTATTAGTAACCTCATGGGGAGACAGTGCTTTGAGAGTCATCTCCCTGTCTCCTTACTTATAACAAGAACTAAAAACCTCTTTGTTTTCAATACTTCCTTGGGTTGTGTTCAATTTGGTGGACCTCAAGTGGTGAACCCCTTGAGTTTGGTTACAAAGGTGACAGAGAAAAGCAGGCAGACCGAAGTAGAGGGACTTATATTGCTTACATGAAAATGACACAGATAGGGAGCAAGCAAGGGGCTGAACCCAAATGACAGGACAAAGTTTGGGTGCATCTGAAACAAAGATAAACCAAGAGAAAGAGGGGGCAAAATGCGTTTGTTTTAAAGATAGCATCTCACAAGCAGAGAGAGATGTTGAAGGTGATCCTCCTATTGCTAATGGTGGTGAAAAGTTGGAATTAGCTGTGAGGTCGAACTCTTGTGACCTGTTGGTGGGAATGTAAAAAAGTAAACTCGGGTTTATCCATACAGTCGAATATTTTATCCATACAGTTGAAATCTGTGTGGTTTATCCACACAGTTAGTTGAATACTATTTGGCCTTAAAAACGACAGAAATTCTGACATATGCTACAACATAGATAAAGTTTGAGGACATTATGCTGAGTGAAATCAGCCAGTCACGAATAGACAGATACTGTATGATTTCTCTCCTATGAGGTGCCGAGAGTAGTCAGATTCATAGAGACAGAAAGTAGGACAGTGGGCGGGTGCCAGGGGCTGGGGGGAGGGGGATAGGGAACGAGTGTTAATGGGGACAGAGTTTCAGTTTGAGAAGTTGGAAAAATTCTGGTGATGGATGGTGGTGATGGTTGCACAACAGTGTGAATGTGCTTAATGCCACTGAGCTGTATACTTAAAAATGGTTAAGATGGTTTAAAAAAATGGTTAAGATGGTAAATTCTATGCTATGTGTATTTTACCACAATTAAAAAGAATGAAGTCAAGGGGCACTTGGCTGGCTCAGTCAGTGGAGCACGAGACTCTTGACCTCAGGGTTGTGTGTTCCAGCCCCAGGTTGGATGTAGAGATTACTTAAAAATAAAATCTTTATTTATTTATTTATTTATTTATTAAAGATTTTATTTATTTGACAGAAGAGAGACACAGCGAGAGAGGGAACACAAGCAGGGGGAGTGGGGGAGGGAGAAGCAGGCCTCCCGCCGAGCAGGGAGCCCCATGTGGGGCTCGATCCCAGGACCCCGGGATCGTGACCTGAGCTGAAGGCAGACGCTTAACGACTGAGCCACCCAGGCACCCCAATAAAATCTTTTTTTAAAAGATTTTATTTATTTATTAGAGAGAGAGACAGAGCATGAACAAGGGGGAGGAGGCAGAGGGAGAGGGAGAAGCAGACTCCCCACTGAGCAGGGAGCCCGCTGATGTGGGGGCTTGATCCCAGGATTCCGGGATCGTGACCTGAGACAAAATCAAGAGTCAGACGTCCAACTGACTGTGCCACCCAGGCGCCCCACTTAAAATCATTCAGAGGAAAAAAGAATGAAGTCTAGCCCTATGTGCTGATGTTGGAAGTTGTCCACGGGGAGAAAGGCAGGAAATCTGCGATGCTGGCCATTCTGGGAGGCTGGTGCTGGGCAGCAGGATGAGCATCACTTCCTCTGTCCCACGCTGCCATGTCCTTTCAGAAGCAGAACTGAGCCTAGCTGGGACCGCACCCCAGGACGGCCTGGATTCCTCCAGAGGGTCCCAGCAGCATCCACACAGCCATGCACTGCCCAGCCGTGCTCCTTCTTCTCCTGCCTGGTGGGGCTGAGGCCTTTCGCATCTGTGCCTTCAATGCCCAGCGGCTGACGCTTTCCAAGGCAGCCAGAGAGCATGTGATGGACACCTTCGTTCGGGTAGGTTCATCACTGAAGGAAAGCTGTGCCCACGACCCAAATCCCCCTGCCCTGCCTGGCCAGGGGCATTTCCCAGAGAAGGGGGGACATTAAGAGGCGTGGGTGTGGAGATGTGGAGCCCATTCCTTCCCTGTCATTGGCCTCAGTCTCCTCTGTAACATGGATGCAGTGTGGTTGGGGTGGCACTCGGTCTTCTCCCAAGTCCTCGCTGGTCCCAGTGCTCTCTGTGGGCCTCAGCCAGAGAGCCGTATCACTCTTGGCCACACCAGTGCTAGTTCCCCAGGGACCCCACCTTCCTCCTGGGGTCACTGGCACTGAGTGGGGCCAGCCCTTCTGCTGTCCTGCAGATCCTGGCTCGCTGCGACATCATGGTGCTGCAGGAGGTGGTGGACGCTTCTGACAGTGCTATGTCCCTCCTGCTTCGAGAACTCAATCGGTGAGGAGGGTTCTGTGGGTCTAATCTGCCCCTCCCCCCCCGCCGGAGCCTCGGGGCTCCTGACCCTCGGTTTCCCTATCCTGGCAGATTTGATGACTCCGGGTCCTACAGGTTCTTGAGCAGCCCCTCTCTGGGGCGCAGCACATACATGGAGAAGTACGTGTACGTCTACCGGTAAGCACAGATGGTGGCCAGGCTGGGCTTGGCACTTGGCCTGGTGCGAGATGCCTCTGCAGTCCCGACAGCTACCGGGTCCTTCCTCCTGGGGTGGCCCTCACCTTCTCATTGCACTTTTTCTCCTCAATGGTTTTATTTGGGGATCTTACTCTCCTCTACCCTAACCAGCTTTGATGCCCATGTGTCCCTACAGCAGGAGGCCTTCGTTCTGTGCGCATAGATGTGGGGTTCCTTTGCCTCTCACCTGTGGAAGCCACTGTGGGGGCTCGTTGTGGACCTTGGGCCGACCCAGTTTCCAGAGATAGCCCTAAGTCCTTGGGATAGCCTAGGGCAGGGGAGCCCTCGGGGGTCAGGATGGAGAGGGCAAGGGGGGTGGTCAGGTAAGGAGACCTATTTATTTTTTATTTTTTTTAAAGATTTTATTCATTTATTTGAGAGAGAGAATGAGATAGAGAGCATGAGAGGCGGGAGGGTCAGAGGGAGAAGCAGACTTCCCGCTGAGCAGGGAGCCCGACGCGGGACTCGACCCCGGGACTCCAGGATCATGACCTGAGCCGAAGGCAGTCGCCTAACCAACTGAGCCACCCAGGCGCCCCAGGAGACCTATTCATACAGATGAAATCATATGTCTAGAATTCACTCCAAAATAACGAGGTGGGGGGTACAGAAACACATCCACATGGAAATGCTCATGACAGCCCCAGATTGGAAACAGCAGTCCACGTGTCCATCAGCTGCTGACTGCATAAACACAAGGTGGGCTCTTTATACACTGGAATGTTACCCGGCCAAAGGTAGGAATGAAGAAGCTTGAGCCGTGCTGCAGCGTGGATGGACTTTGAAAACCTGTGTGCTAAGGAAAAGGAGCCAGACACAAAAGACCACATATTGCTTTGATTCCCTTCACACAAAGTGTCCAGAACAGGCAAATCTAGAGACAGAAAACAGATCAGTGGCTGCCAGCGGCAGAGGAGGGAATTGGGGAGCCACTGCTCATAGGTACAAGGTTTCTTTTTCGGGCCATAACAAGTTTCCAAAACTGAATGTGGCGATGGTTTCACAACCCTGTGAATGTCCTGATTCTTCTGTGGGTCTAATCTGGGCCCCCCCCCAGAACCTCGGGGCCCCTGACCCTGGCTTTCCCTATCCTGGCAGATTTGATGACTCCAGGTCCTACAGTTTCTTGAGCAGCCCCTCTCTGGGGCTGCTCAATACCATTGAATTGTGCATTTTAAACAGGTGAATTCCATGGTATGTGAATTATATCTCAATAAAAAACAAGTTCTAGAAAAGCAGCTAAGAGGCTGTGGTCACATGAAATAGGGCTGGTAGTGGAGGGCCCCTCGCTGAGTGCCAGCTCTGATGTAGGCACTTGCAAACCAGATCAGTGATGTGGGGCCACTGCTTCTCATCCCTTGGTCCCCCAGGTCACACAAGACACAGGTCCTGGATTCCTACGTGTACGAGGACACGGATGATCTATTTGCCCGGGAGCCCTTTGTGGCCCAGTTCACTTTTCCCAGCAAGGGTAGGAAGGGAAGAAGGGTGGCCCTGCTATGTGGGAGCCGGAAGGAGGGTCTGGCTGGCTGTGCCAAGGGCTTGGTTACTGGGAAGAGGCTGGGTGGGGAGTGCCCAGGAGTGGGTGGGAGTCCTCCATTCCTGGGGTTTGCAGTCCTTCACAGTCTGGTGCTGGTCCCACTGCACACCACTCCGAAGGCCGTAGAGCAAGAGCTGAATGCCCTGTACAACGTGTTTCTGGATGTCTCCCAGCGCTGGAAGAGCAGGGTAGGGCTGGGCAGATGGCACAGGAGGGCTGGGGACAGGAGGGTTGGGTGGCCGGGTCTAACTGCTGCCCCCCGCCCCCAACCCCGCCTCCAGGACATGATCCTGCTTGGGGACTTCAATGCTGATTGTGCCTCCCTGACCAAAAAGCGCCTGGGTGAGCTGGTGCTGCGGACTCAGGCGGGCTTCCACTGGGCGATTGACGACGACGAGGACACCACAGTGCGGGCCAGCACCCACTGCGCTTATGACCGCATAGTGCTGCATGGGGATCGCTGCCAGAGCCTGCTACGCTCTGCGGCTGCCTTCAACTTCCCCAGGAGCTTCCAACTCACCGAGGAGGAGGTGAGGCGGGGCGGCCGGGACGGGTTCCCAGGGAAGTCCCTCAGCCCCGGCACTGATGCTCTGTCCTGCCGCCTACCCCCAGGCCCTAAACATCAGCGACCATTACCCTGTGGAAGCGGAGCTGAACCAGGCGGCACCCAGGGTCCAGCCTCTTGGCCTGGCTGTTCTGTTCCTGCTACTCCTGCTCCCCCCGCTGGGCCTGGTGGCCTGAACCAGCCCCGAGCCTGCTGCCCACAGATGTGAGGACTGTGCTGCTTTCAGGACTCAAATCCTGCTCTCTCCAGTGTGCTCCCCGACTGCTCTGGAGCCGGAGAGACTCCTGAGAGGCTTCAACTGCAGCCCTCCTGCATCTGATGATAGCTCTACCCCACTGGACTGCAACCCTTCTCCATCTGCCTTTTCTTTGGTTTGGCTTGTGTTCTTTGGTTGGGCCCCTGCCTGGCATTAGAATGTAGAGGGAGGCAGGGGCCCTGAGGCTAGACCCATGCCACTCTGCCCCCAGCTAGTGTCAAGAGTGGGGATAGAGCAGGCTCCAGGGCTGGGGAAGAAAAGGGGGCTCAGGTGATTTTGGCTCAACTGCAGGGCTCAGAAAAGGGAATCACAGCAGACCAAAGGTTTTATTATAGGACAAAAGGAAACTTAAACGCTGAGAACAAAAGCTAAATTGAGGGGTATTACGTACATGGAGCAGATGTGCCAGAGGGCCATTTTTATTGCACACAGGATCCGTATGAATCAATATTAAGATTCTAGCAGACACAAGGATTGATAAGCAGTTTACACACACACAGTAACTAGCAAACAGAAAATGTTTAAGCTTGTTGTAATCCCATAAATGAAAATAGCTTCAAACAGCCCTGCTGCCTGCTGTCAAGCCCATGTTCACAACCACGGTGCAGCCCAACCTCACCCCACCCAGGGTATGGTCAGTCCACACTGGGGGCACGTGTATGAGGCGTGGCTCTGGCTGGTACCAAGGCTACAGGCGCATACAGAAGAGAGATGCACCACTTCTGTAACAGCAGCTGTATGAGTACATGCTCATGCAGGTAAAGGGACTACAGGACACTTAGCAAAATGTTACCAATGAGCCTATTCAGGATGTTGGTATAGAACACTCCCTTCCCCAGCTTCATTTCCCAGAGACAGAGCTCAGTAAAACCAGCTAGCAGGATTATCAGGGCCATTTACACACAATTATTTATGGCTTGGAATCATCTCAAGGTCAAAAATAAAAGTAACTTTCAACCTTAGATATGTCTGTTAAGTAACGATTACAGGGGTGCCTGGGTGGCTCAGTTGGTTAAGCAACTGCCTTCGGCTCAGGTCATGATCCCAGGGTCCTGGGATCGAGCCCTGCATCAGGCTCCCTGCTCAGCCAGAAGCCTGCTTCTCCCTCTCCCACTCCCCCTGCTTGTGTTCCCTCTCACGCTCTCTTTCTGTCAATTAAATAAATAAAAAATCTTTAAAAAAAAAAAGTAACGATTACAAAAGGCCAGTGGATTCGATGCAACCCAGCCCAGCCTGGGGAACCAGCAGAGGCGCTCGGCCACCACTGTGGCCCACTCTGGAACCAGATCTCTTTAGGACCCGCTTCTGGCTGGAGAACGACAGGCCATCAGGCCCAGAAGGGATTCTCGGGGGCTTGTTTTTGCTGCCCCATGATACTGAACCTAACTAATGCTCCTTTTGGAACCCTGGTACACAACTGTACCAGACAACACACACAATTCCCAGACCAAGGGGAGCTGCGCACTACTTGCTGGAAGGCCGTCTTGCCTATGGGCCATTTCAGGTGGGGGGAGCTTGTCAGGTTGGACACTGGCCAAAGTGGTCAAGGATGTGGAGAGGAGGCCCCAGAAGGGATGTGGGTCAAAGCTGCCTTACAACTCTTAACACAAGAAACTATTCAAGGGCTAACCAGAGGGCCCATCTCCTAGAAGGCTGGTCGAAACATGGCTGGAACCATGCCTAGTTTTCACTTCTCCCCATTTCCAGTTATGTTACTGGTCTGGGATCTTCAGGGAGAGCTTCTACAGCAGCCACAAGTCAGCCTTAGGCCACAAGCCCTTTTTTTTTTTTTTTAAAGATTTT